GGAGAAAATTCGAGAAAAACAGGAGGAGGCCTGCACGGTCGACCGTGGCGGTCGACCGCGAAAGTGCACAGAAGCTGACAAGAGGCTGGAGCTGAAGGCGGTCGACCGCGCCAACCCTGTAGGGATTTTTGGTCTCGGGAATCAGTTCGGTCGACCGTGGCGGTTGATCGCGCCAATACTGTAATGTTTTCTGCTCTCGGAAAAGTGGTTCGGTCGAGTGCCGCTGTCGACAGCGATACCTGCACTGTCGACCGCCACAGTCGACCGCGACGTAGTCAAACAGTTCCCTAAACTATTTTGGATTTTGTTTCTTTCAAGACTCCATATATATCTAAACATTTTTAGGGCTTGTATACACACGAAAAAAGAGAGTTTTTGACAGCAGAAAAAGAGAGAATCTCAGAGAGATAAAACCCTAGTTTGAGAGCTTGTATTTCTTCTTTAATTAATCAAAAGAATTGTGTGGTGTGGCTCCCGAGGATGTAGGCACGTTGCCGAACCTCGTTAAATCTGTGTGTTCATCTCCTTTATTATTTCTGTAAGTTTTTTATCTTTTTATTTGAGGTGAATTTTCCTACTTTCTTACTTTCAACACAAGGTTTGGAAAGGCAAGGATTCAATTTAACTGTTTCGATTCCCCAACATGTTTTTGGGTCCCTAAGACATTTTTTAAAAGGTAACTTTATGGCTTTCTTAGAAGTTAAAAGGTAACTTTCAAAATTGCTTGAACTAAAGTTGAACTTACTAAAATGTTGTTATCAACTCAAGTTATCTTTTTCTTTTTTTGTGAGTGGTCACTACTGTATTGAAGCTATTAAATTTGACTAAATAAAATAAGTTGAAGGCATCTTTTGTGCCATATAACAAATTTGCTATTAAGTTGCCAATAAGCCCACATCAACCTGATGCGGGGCCCCTATAATTGCTTTATGCCATTACAAAATAGTATAATTATATATCAAGCTGCAAATGTGCAAAAAGCACAAGTATAAATGCTAAAAAAGGAATATCCAGGGATTTAATTGCAAAATAGGAATAATTTGAACGGACCGCACCCACCTGTACAACACCACTGCTTCATGGGTCCCAATTGATTACTTGATTTAGAGGTTGCTTATTGGTATGACGTGGGGCCACGAAAGCAAGTGCACTTTTGAGGTGGGATTTGGTCCCCCACCTAGAACTTACTCGTTTCGATCTTGGTAGATTTTGGAGAAAATGATATTCGAATAAAATGTTTTGACATGTGCTAATTTAGGTTAAATGTCAGAAGAGCTTTGTTACAGTGACACAAAATATGAGATTAACAGGGAGGACATGTGATTTGTCCCCCTTATATTTCATAATGAGCTGATCATCATTAATGATGATCAACTCATTATGCAATAGGAGAAGGACACCTCACCTGTCTCCCCTGTTGATATCATATTTTGGATTATTAGAGAATTTTTCATGTCATAAACCTTCTGACGAGATGATTTTCAGATAACCCCAATTATAAGGTTTTATTAGAGAAACCGTCTAATAGCGATAACCACAGATTTTTACATGATGTTTTCTCCCGTAAAAACTACAGTTTCACACTTTTTGGTGGGTTTCTTTTTCTTGCCATAAGATCACAGAATTAACCCCCAAACAGAAGGGGTTTTCTGATATTTTGGGAGTTATGGGGCTACCTGATAAATCGTCCAAAGTGAAGGGGTTCTCGGATACTTATTAGCTGCTAATTTATCGTGTTCCATCGAAATGTTTTAACCGTAGCCGGGCAATATTAGCAGTCTTACGATAATTAAGTTGTTCCCACCAACCGCCAAAAGGTAAATTCGTAAATTCGGAAATGAGAGAAGGGCGGTTATATAATAAGCCCCCGCAAGAAATGGGCATTCTCGTTTTTCCTCGTTCGTTTCTCGTGAAACCACGAGTTTGTTGTTTTTTTGGATTACGGTAGCGCTCTGAGAGATCTCGATCCCTCCCTGAATCATCGGATACCTTGTTTGAAATCGGAATCTCCTCTTCTCAGGCTCCCGATCGAGGTAGTTTTCTCTTTGATCGGTTCAGATTTCGATTCGGGAGCTCCTAATTCGTAATTAGGGCTCCGTTCCATGAAGATTTTACTGAATCGGGATCAAATTAGAGGAATTAGGTTTTTTAGGAGGAGGATCTATTGTAGAAATATTGTGTGTTGTTGTTGTTGTTGAAGGTCAGGGTTTAATTTTGTTTTGATTTGGGAGATCGATCATGAGAATAGCGGAATTGGGTCGTGAGGATAACGGGATTGAGGAATCGAAGGGGCGAGAGATTGTTAGGGTTAGAACGAAGAGAGCGCTGGTGGGCGCTGGAGCTCGGATTCTATTCTATCCGACTTTGCTTTATAATGTTTGCAGGAATAAGATTCAGGCTGAGTTTCGATGGTGGGATCAAGTGGATCAGGTTGTTTTTCTTCTTGAATATGTTTTTCTTTCTATTTTTTTGTTAACAAATGCTCTAATTTTTTCTTCTCAAGTTAGCTTGTTGATTTATTTAGTTCATTATCTAGTACACTGGAAAAAAAAAGATGAAAACTTGATGAGGATGTTGGTGATCGGATTTCTGATTTGACTAAGATTTCTGCTTTTTCTTTGTGCATGACTATTTATTGGAAATTTATTGGCAGTGCATCATACTCAGGGTTTGCATTTCCTCTCTCTCTCTCTCTCTCTCTCTCTCTCTCTCTGTGTGTGTGTGTGTGTGTGTGTGTGTGTTTTGTTTTTTTGTTTTTTTTTCTTGAGTGTGGGGTGGCTGCAATTGGTAACTCTAGCCTGATAACTGTGAATTGTGGAGAAAAAGACTGCATGGATAGCATGTTTTTAATAAAGATCCAGCTTATCTTGATATATGTGCTTACCATATTCATTGCACACATTAGTAGTTAGTTTCTTACTTGTGCTGGTGTTTTCAGACGATAACTAAGAAATAAGATGCAAGTTGTGGAAGGGAATGATATGATTAATGACAGCAGTTTAATCATAAGATGTTGCTTGTAAAATTATGTTCTTTCAGCACATGTTTAGTTTCTAATTATTGAATAATCTCTAAACCTAACCCTTACCACCTCTTGAATAATCTCGATGGTTGTTTATCCAGGTTTGTTGCGATACATGCTCTTCATAGCATAGCGTATATCTAGTTCATGCCTCATGCCTGCACCATTTAATGATATATTATCACCTAAACAAGCGTTGACTTGGCACTTTCCTTAACCGTGGTACCATATGATCATGAGCATCGTCAAGTCATTCAATTGAGAAGAAATTGTGTTCATGTTGGAATGATGTGGAGTTCAAACCCATGAGACTGGCCATCTGAGCCTCGTTTCTAGCCCTTGTAACTGCAGCCAGCTTAATGCTGATAAATTTTTTAATAGAAATGATACTTGAATCCAGTTTATTGGGGATTTTGTTTCTTTCAAGACTCCATATATATCTAAACATTTTTAGGGCTTGTATACACACGAAAAAAGAGAGTTTTTGACAGCAGAAAAAGAGAGAATCTCAGAGAGATAAAACCCTAGTTTGAGAGCTTGTATTTCTTCTTTAATTAATCAAAAGAATTGTGTGGTGTGGCTCCCGAGGATGTAGGCACGTTGCCGAACCTCGTTAAATCTGTGTGTTCATCTCCTTTATTATTTCTGTAAGTTTTTTATCTTTTTATTTGAGGTGAATTTTCCTACTTTCTTACTTTCAACACAAGGTTTGGAAAGGCAAGGATTCAATTTAACTGTTTCGATTCCCCAACATGTTTTTGGGTCCCTAAGACATTTTTTAAAAGGTAACTTTATGGCTTTCTTAGAAGTTAAAAGGTAACTTTCAAAATTGCTTGAACTAAAGTTGAACTTACTAAAATGTTGTTATCAACTCAAGTTATCTTTTTCTTTTTTTGTGAGTGGTCACTACTGTATTGAAGCTATTAAATTTGACTAAATAAAATAAGTTGAAGGCATCTTTTGTGCCATATAACAAATTTGCTATTAAGTTGCCAATAAGCCCACATCAACCTGATGCGGGGCCCCTATAATTGCTTTATGCCATTACAAAATAGTATAATTATATATCAAGCTGCAAATGTGCAAAAAGCACAAGTATAAATGCTAAAAAAGGAATATCCAGGGATTTAATTGCAAAATAGGAATAATTTGAACGGACCGCACCCACCTGTACAACACCACTGCTTCATGGGTCCCAATTGATTACTTGATTTAGAGGTTGCTTATTGGTATGACGTGGGGCCACGAAAGCAAGTGCACTTTTGAGGTGGGATTTGGTCCCCCACCTAGAACTTACTCGTTTCGATCTTGGTAGATTTTGGAGAAAATGATATTCGAATAAAATGTTTTGACATGTGCTAATTTAGGTTAAATGTCAGAAGAGCTTTGTTACAGTGACACAAAATATGAGATTAACAGGGAGGACATGTGATTTGTCCCCCTTATATTTCATAATGAGCTGATCATCATTAATGATGATCAACTCATTATGCAATAGGAGAAGGACACCTCACCTGTCTCCCCTGTTGATATCATATTTTGGATTATTAGAGAATTTTTCATGTCATAAACCTTCTGACGAGATGATTTTCAGATAACCCCAATTATAAGGTTTTATTAGAGAAACCGTCTAATAGCGATAACCACAGATTTTTACATGATGTTTTCTCCCGTAAAAACTACAGTTTCACACTTTTTGGTGGGTTTCTTTTTCTTGCCATAAGATCACAGAATTAACCCCCAAACAGAAGGGGTTTTCTGATATTTTGGGAGTTATGGGGCTACCTGATAAATCGTCCAAAGTGAAGGGGTTCTCGGATACTTATTAGCTGCTAATTTATCGTGTTCCATCGAAATGTTTTAACCGTAGCCGGGCAATATTAGCAGTCTTACGATAATTAAGTTGTTCCCACCAACCGCCAAAAGGTAAATTCGTAAATTCGGAAATGAGAGAAGGGCGGTTATATAATAAGCCCCCGCAAGAAATGGGCATTCTCGTTTTTCCTCGTTCGTTTCTCGTGAAACCACGAGTTTGTTGTTTTTTTGGATTACGGTAGCGCTCTGAGAGATCTCGATCCCTCCCTGAATCATCGGATACCTTGTTTGAAATCGGAATCTCCTCTTCTCAGGCTCCCGATCGAGGTAGTTTTCTCTTTGATCGGTTCAGATTTCGATTCGGGAGCTCCTAATTCGTAATTAGGGCTCCGTTCCATGAAGATTTTACTGAATCGGGATCAAATTAGAGGAATTAGGTTTTTTAGGAGGAGGATCTATTGTAGAAATATTGTGTGTTGTTGTTGTTGTTGAAGGTCAGGGTTTAATTTTGTTTTGATTTGGGAGATCGATCATGAGAATAGCGGAATTGGGTCGTGAGGATAACGGGATTGAGGAATCGAAGGGGCGAGAGATTGTTAGGGTTAGAACGAAGAGAGCGCTGGTGGGCGCTGGAGCTCGGATTCTATTCTATCCGACTTTGCTTTATAATGTTTGCAGGAATAAGATTCAGGCTGAGTTTCGATGGTGGGATCAAGTGGATCAGGTTGTTTTTCTTCTTGAATATGTTTTTCTTTCTATTTTTTTGTTAACAAATGCTCTAATTTTTTCTTCTCAAGTTAGCTTGTTGATTTATTTAGTTCATTATCTAGTACACTGGAAAAAAAAAGATGAAAACTTGATGAGGATGTTGGTGATCGGATTTCTGATTTGACTAAGATTTCTGCTTTTTCTTTGTGCATGACTATTTATTGGAAATTTATTGGCAGTGCATCATACTCAGGGTTTGCATTTCCTCTCTCTCTCTCTCTCTCTCTCTCTCTCTCTCTGTGTGTGTGTGTGTGTGTGTGTGTGTGTTTTGTTTTTTTGTTTTTTTTTCTTGAGTGTGGGGTGGCTGCAATTGGTAACTCTAGCCTGATAACTGTGAATTGTGGAGAAAAAGACTGCATGGATAGCATGTTTTTAATAAAGATCCAGCTTATCTTGATATATGTGCTTACCATATTCATTGCACACATTAGTAGTTAGTTTCTTACTTGTGCTGGTGTTTTCAGACGATAACTAAGAAATAAGATGCAAGTTGTGGAAGGGAATGATATGATTAATGACAGCAGTTTAATCATAAGATGTTGCTTGTAAAATTATGTTCTTTCAGCACATGTTTAGTTTCTAATTATTGAATAATCTCTAAACCTAACCCTTACCACCTCTTGAATAATCTCGATGGTTGTTTATCCAGGTTTGTTGCGATACATGCTCTTCATAGCATAGCGTATATCTAGTTCATGCCTCATGCCTGCACCATTTAATGATATATTATCACCTAAACAAGCGTTGACTTGGCACTTTCCTTAACCGTGGTACCATATGATCATGAGCATCGTCAAGTCATTCAATTGAGAAGAAATTGTGTTCATGTTGGAATGATGTGGAGTTCAAACCCATGAGACTGGCCATCTGAGCCTCGTTTCTAGCCCTTGTAACTGCAGCCAGCTTAATGCTGATAAATTTTTTAATAGAAATGATACTTGAATCCAGTTTATTGGGACCCAATATATCTAAAATGTTAGCATGGCTTAGGCTCTTGTATCTGAGAGCAACCATATTCACTTAGCAATGGAGATATCAGGTGAGAAGAGGGGAATTGGCAGGAGATTATCACATAATGGTTAATATACTTATTTACATGCTATATTTTTTGGAATCTAGTGATAGAATTACACTGATCCTCAATACTGAAAATAAAATTAACGATTTGTTGCATTTGAAGTTTTTTTATTAGCTTCAACATATATATTATGACAATAATGCATGCTTAATTAATTGCATTGTTGTAAGAAACCCACCAAAGCCCACTTCATCCCTTGCTACACTATTGCATTTGGAATGAGGAACACCGGGTTCAAGATTTGAACGCTTTATATAGATCTCTTATGTTGATGTTTATTGTTTTTTATGTAAATTTTAGCATCAATTACTTATTTGTTTTCTTTGTTTTGCAAATTTGCAATTCCTTATTTTCTTCCTGTTTCCCCCTCTTTTTTAGTGTCTTCTAATTTTATGTTTTTCGAAAAAGCCCTGGTGCTTTTTGCCTTTTTAGTGTCTTCTAGTCTTCTTCTAGTTTTCTGTTTTTCGAAAAAGCACTGTTGTGGTGCTTTTTGCCTTTCTGGCTCACTAAATCCTGCTAAGGCCCTCTTTTTAGTGTATTCTAGTTTTCTGGTTTTTGAAAAAGCCCTGGTGTTACCGATAAAAATCACTAAAGCCTGCTAGGGCCTCAGCTTTGTCCTGCCACTTTCCTCCTACTTTCGCCTTCCTCAAGATATTTAATTGTGTTAAAAAAATTGTACAATAAATGAACAATATTCTACATCCTAAATGGAAAATTGATCCTAACTAACATTTGAGCATTTCAGCCAGTGTTGAAAAACATTTGTGGACTTTTAAGGTCCAAATCAGCACTACCTTGTTCCTGTCCCAGTGGTTACCAAACAATGGTAATTTCGTGTGTGGTTTGATGTTCCATCTGTATGGCTGGATGTGCTTGCAGCTACTGATGATTTCTTAGAATCACTAATGGAGGAACAATGTCAAACTTGCGATTATTGCCTTGATTGAAGACCATGATCACTGCCCCAGTTTCCTCCAAAGTGATTGTTTTCCCAACTAGATCGTGAAAATAATAAAACTGAAAAGTGCTAGTTTTTTAACTAATCTTAAGGATACTATGTTTTGGATCATATTTCTTGGGTGAAATTTTTTTATGTGCTATGAAATGGACTTATCATCATGATCTTATTTACTAATAATTGTGCTTATGTAGGTCGTTTATCAAGGTAATGTAATTAATAATTTGACAAGGGCATCAACATCCTTTTAAAATGGGAAACTCCATGATTTTTCTCATTGACTTATCGATCACTAACCTTTTTTTAAGCATTGCATGCATGTAATAGTATATATTACTCTAGCTGATTCTGATTGTCATTTTTTGACTTCTCGCTTCTAGCTTATAGATGATCTGATAAGGCAAACTTCCCCTTACTTGCCTGCTATATTGGTTTTTCAGTTTCTTTTGCTTGGTGCTGTACCATTTCCTAACGATGTTCCTCGCCTGCAACAACTTGGAGTGCGTGGTGTAATTACCTTGAATGAACCTTATGAGACTCTGGTTCCATCATCTTTGTATCGGGTAATTGCTTTCTTCACGATTTTGGGACATGAGTTTACATCTGATTTTATTCTTCGGGTTGTAATGTCTGTCTTTTGAATTTTTTTTTCAATGCATTTTTTGATACAACCACATGAGTAACTATATCTGATCCTTTCTAGACAACTGTTAAGCTCTGCTAGCTGTTTCTACCATGGTTTTAAATATCGACCGATAATCCGATATTATCGTCGAGTTATCGGATTTGGGAGCTTTCCGCTAGGATAAGTAGGATTTTTAATCGGTTATTGTTTTTTGAGGTTTATCGGCAAGTTATCGGCGATAAAGACACTTATCGGCCGATAAGTAGGCTCTAAATATCGGCTTTATCGGCCGATAAGTAGGATTTTGGAGCTTTTACTTTTTTTTGGATTTGCTCTTTGAATGTTTACAAATATATGAACTATTTGTTGCTTTTGGAACTTGGTTGATTGGTGATTAGCTTATGTTTGTTTATGGATATTGATAATGGCTCATAACTACTAAATATGAACGTAGTAAGTTAGTTTATGAATCTCATGATTAAACAATAATTATGTAGATGCGTAGATGGTTCTTCATTCTTGATGTTATCTTATTATTTGCTTGTTTATTATTCCATTTTGACTAACATTATATTTTTTTCAAGCTTATGTTTGTTTATTATTTGCTAGTATATTACTCCGATAATTACTACTTATCCCTGATATATCCCCGATTTCCGCTATTTAATAAAGATCCAGCTTATCTTGATATATGTGCTTACCATATTCATTGCACACATTAGTAGTTAGTTTCTTACTTGTGCTGGTGTTTTCAGACGATAACTAAGAAATAAGATGCAAGTTGTGGAAGGGAATGATATGATTAATGACAGCAGTTTAATCATAAGATGTTGCTTGTAAAATTATGTTCTTTCAGCACATGTTTAGTTTCTAATTATTGAATAATCTCTAAACCTAACCCTTACCACCTCTTGAATAATCTCGATGGTTGTTTATCCAGGTTTGTTGCGATACATGCTCTTCATAGCATAGCGTATATCTAGTTCATGCCTCATGCCTGCACCATTTAATGATATATTATCACCTAAACAAGCGTTGACTTGGCACTTTCCTTAACCGTGGTACCATATGATCATGAGCATCGTCAAGTCATTCAATTGAGAAGAAATTGTGTTCATGTTGGAATGATGTGGAGTTCAAACCCATGAGACTGGCCATCTGAGCCTCGTTTCTAGCCCTTGTAACTGCAGCCAGCTTAATGCTGATAAATTTTTTAATAGAAATGATACTTGAATCCAGTTTATTGGGACCCAATATATCTAAAATGTTAGCATGGCTTAGGCTCTTGTATCTGAGAGCAACCATATTCACTTAGCAATGGAGATATCAGGTGAGAAGAGGGGAATTGGCAGGAGATTATCACATAATGGTTAATATACTTATTTACATGCTATATTTTTTGGAATCTAGTGATAGAATTACACTGATCCTCAATACTGAAAATAAAATTAACGATTTGTTGCATTTGAAGTTTTTTTATTAGCTTCAACATATATATTATGACAATAATGCATGCTTAATTAATTGCATTGTTGTAAGAAACCCACCAAAGCCCACTTCATCCCTTGCTACACTATTGCATTTGGAATGAGGAACACCGGGTTCAAGATTTGAACGCTTTATATAGATCTCTTATGTTGATGTTTATTGTTTTTTATGTAAATTTTAGCATCAATTACTTATTTGTTTTCTTTGTTTTGCAAATTTGCAATTCCTTATTTTCTTCCTGTTTCCCCCTCTTTTTTAGTGTCTTCTAATTTTATGTTTTTCGAAAAAGCCCTGGTGCTTTTTGCCTTTTTAGTGTCTTCTAGTCTTCTTCTAGTTTTCTGTTTTTCGAAAAAGCACTGTTGTGGTGCTTTTTGCCTTTCTGGCTCACTAAATCCTGCTAAGGCCCTCTTTTTAGTGTATTCTAGTTTTCTGGTTTTTGAAAAAGCCCTGGTGTTACCGATAAAAATCACTAAAGCCTGCTAGGGCCTCAGCTTTGTCCTGCCACTTTCCTCCTACTTTCGCCTTCCTCAAGATATTTAATTGTGTTAAAAAAATTGTACAATAAATGAACAATATTCTACATCCTAAATGGAAAATTGATCCTAACTAACATTTGAGCATTTCAGCCAGTGTTGAAAAACATTTGTGGACTTTTAAGGTCCAAATCAGCACTACCTTGTTCCTGTCCCAGTGGTTACCAAACAATGGTAATTTCGTGTGTGGTTTGATGTTCCATCTGTATGGCTGGATGTGCTTGCAGCTACTGATGATTTCTTAGAATCACTAATGGAGGAACAATGTCAAACTTGCGATTATTGCCTTGATTGAAGACCATGATCACTGCCCCAGTTTCCTCCAAAGTGATTGTTTTCCCAACTAGATCGTGAAAATAATAAAACTGAAAAGTGCTAGTTTTTTAACTAATCTTAAGGATACTATGTTTTGGATCATATTTCTTGGGTGAAATTTTTTTATGTGCTATGAAATGGACTTATCATCATGATCTTATTTACTAATAATTGTGCTTATGTAGGTCGTTTATCAAGGTAATGTAATTAATAATTTGACAAGGGCATCAACATCCTTTTAAAATGGGAAACTCCATGATTTTTCTCATTGACTTATCGATCACTAACCTTTTTTTAAGCATTGCATGCATGTAATAGTATATATTACTCTAGCTGATTCTGATTGTCATTTTTTGACTTCTCGCTTCTAGCTTATAGATGATCTGATAAGGCAAACTTCCCCTTACTTGCCTGCTATATTGGTTTTTCAGTTTCTTTTGCTTGGTGCTGTACCATTTCCTAACGATGTTCCTCGCCTGCAACAACTTGGAGTGCGTGGTGTAATTACCTTGAATGAACCTTATGAGACTCTGGTTCCATCATCTTTGTATCGGGTAATTGCTTTCTTCACGATTTTGGGACATGAGTTTACATCTGATTTTATTCTTCGGGTTGTAATGTCTGTCTTTTGAATTTTTTTTTCAATGCATTTTTTGATACAACCACATGAGTAACTATATCTGATCCTTTCTAGACAACTGTTAAGCTCTGCTAGCTGTTTCTACCATGGTTTTAAATATCGACCGATAATCCGATATTATCGTCGAGTTATCGGATTTGGGAGCTTTCCGCTAGGATAAGTAGGATTTTTAATCGGTTATTGTTTTTTGAGGTTTATCGGCAAGTTATCGGCGATAAAGACACTTATCGGCCGATAAGTAGGCTCTAAATATCGGCTTTATCGGCCGATAAGTAGGATTTTGGAGCTTTTACTTTTTTTTGGATTTGCTCTTTGAATGTTTACAAATATATGAACTATTTGTTGCTTTTGGAACTTGGTTGATTGGTGATTAGCTTATGTTTGTTTATGGATATTGATAATGGCTCATAACTACTAAATATGAACGTAGTAAGTTAGTTTATGAATCTCATGATTAAACAATAATTATGTAGATGCGTAGATGGTTCTTCATTCTTGATGTTATCTTATTATTTGCTTGTTTATTATTCCATTTTGACTAACATTATATTTTTTTCAAGCTTATGTTTGTTTATTATTTGCTAGTATATTACTCCGATAATTACTACTTATCCCTGATATATCCCCGATTTCCGCTATCCGATAAGGATTTTGACCGTCCGATAAATCCTTGATAACCGACATTTAAAACCTTGGTTTCTACATTGTTAATGCATTTGCTAGTAAAAGTAAAACTTTCCATGTAAATTGGCAAACATTGCCAGACTGGCAGCCAAATATTTCCGTGGAATTACATGTATGTCTGAAAATATAACTATTACTTTAACACTATGTCATGAGTACTATATATTCTTAAAGCATAAGTTTGGTCAGAAATAAGGACCATAGAAATGAACAACGGACTTTCCAATGAACAATGGACTTTCCAATCTTTCAATTGGTATTTATCATATTTCGTCCTGTCAGAAATTCGTGACTATGTCCAGAGTTTTTGAAAATTAGGATCGCTTGCATTATCTGAACAATGGGTGGCATTAATTATATCACTAATATTAATGTAGTGTTTTTTTGAACTATAAGGTTCTATAATACATAGTGCTAAGTTCAATCTAAACTGATATAGTTACGCATATTTATGGTAACAAGCAAACATGTGAATGGCTGTGTTAAGAGTGTACAGGTATCGGAGAATTACTATATCTTAGACCTGTTACACCGGAATGTGATACTGCGTGTCCTGTTCTTCATTGATAGCTTACAACCATTTGGCATCTCATTCCACATGAATTGCACCATTGTATTCTGTCTTTTATTACTACATTGGATGCAATGTAACAAAAATTTTTGTAAGCCTTGTTATTGATGAAGGTGCTCATAATTTCTTTTTATTCTATTGTTTGCAGGAGCATGGGATTGACCATCTAGTAATTCCTACGAGGGATTACCTTTTTGCTCCATCTTCTGTGGATATATGCCGAGCTGTAGATTTCATCCATAGTAAGTAAGACATGGTTATTACTTTATTTTTTTTAGTCTCCTGTGAAAGTATGTTGAGCTGTAGATCTTTTCCTAACTACATATCTTCTTTTTCATTATTTCAAATGGATGCCATAATTTACATGATGTAGAATCATCTTTATCCATGTGTTTTTTTAAGCTGTCAAAGATATTGATGATGTAATACATTTCCATTGTATTATTGAAGTTTCATGCACGTAAATAAAATTTTATTTGGTGGATTAAGGAGAGAAAAACTGACATTTATACTATGTGGATGTGAGCTCTTTGATATCCTGTTCAAAAAACTTATAAAGGGCGAGTTACTTGTTCTTGTTTGACACGTCTGCTGAATAACAGGCTTATTATGTGAAATGTTAACATTGCTCTGCTTGAGTGGGATGCCATTCAATGCAACATGTGCTTTCTTGTTGCATAGTTTTTAATTGTACAAATTCTGGGAGCGTGCAAGTTATGAACAGATACGTCGCCAACTCACTGTTTTGTTATGTTACATGGGTAGTTCTATCAGAACCCGTACCCTACCCGACACGTACCCGTACCCGTACCAAAACTTCTTGAATATATGCATACATTTATTCAAGCGTATACCCAAATATATAATACATCTTTTAAATATAAATCACTCCTACACTTCTGGGACATATATTCTAACACTTCACATTTATTTCTTATAGATTGGTCTTATGCAAATGAAAAACAATATTAATCTTATGTAAAATTTTAATTTTAATACATATAAATATACATAACATACATGTATAGCTGTGTCCCCATACCCAACCTTTTACAAATTTATCGTGTCCCTACCCATACCCATACCGACCCATACCTGTACCTATGCAGCATAGCTGTTTGACTTTCTCTAACATGTATATGTATCTTGTGACACATTATCCATATAATTAAGTAGACTTATTTTGGTTTTATGTGTTAGTACTCGGTATAAATTTGAAGATTGCATTTTTTAGTTAGTTTAATGCAAACTTTCCTTCCATCTCAATGTAGAGCTTCCTATCACATGCATATCAATTACACATTTATCTCACCGATTATTGTTCTTGTTAGCTTTTATTTAGTCACTGAGTCGCAACACTAAGGTATTAAAATGATCTTGCTTCATGCCTCATTGCGTTGTTCAAATCTCACCTCTATCTGAAAGAAAGACCTGCTTGCCTTGGATGTGGTCTATTGCTAATTCATTAGTTTAATTTGATCATTTGTGTTTTTTGATTAAACTATTTGGTACAGATAGTTCTCATTATTTACTCTCTGGAGCAATGATCTTCAAACTTATCCATATTCATTAAGGCTTCTATGTGTGTGTGTGTGTGTGTGGTGGTTCAGCAATGATTCACGATAATATTGTTAGAAGTAGAAGCTGGAAAAACGAGTTGCAAGTCTGACTAAGAAAGCTGGAAAATAGGAAAATCAATGCAATTAGGAGCTGGTTAAATTTTATTTTTTTTCTTAAATAATCTTTTTCGAAAGTGTCATAATCTCTAATTCACCAAGCTACAGTCATCTTCCTTGTTTCATTTGAATCTGTAATTTATTATCCGGACAATCTAGTTGGCATTGTTCAAAATTTACCTAGTATTCTGTTTCATCCTCTGAATTAGATCTATAATTTCACCTGTTACCCCTCTGTTTTTTAGGGAACGCAGCCTGTGGGAGGACAACATATGTGCACTGTAAAGCTGGGAGGGGACGCAGCACAACCATTGTTTTATGTTATTTGGTAACTTTCAGCTTGTTCAATAGCAAGCAAATTTGATTTCCAAGCCGTTGTGACTGTTTCATTAGCTAGCTTCTGACACATCTCTATACATTCAAATGGCAGGTTGAGTATAAGAACATGACACCTGATATTGCTCTAGAATATGTTCGAGCAATAAGGCCTCGCGTGCTACTTGCTCCTTCACAGTGGCAGGTATTGGTGGTGGCCTTACTGCTATATATTTTTTCCTTTTCCTGCTGGCATGTTTGTTTAGTTTCTTTGCCCAAGCTATTCAGTAGTAGCAGCCCTGTTGCGTTTATCGCGAGGCTTTCTGTGCATCAACTGTTACACTCAAAATGTTCCCAGCAAAAAGGGAAAAAATTGATCTGCAATTTGTTCCTCTTTTGTTCTAGCCTTGAATACTATGTGAGATAAAAATTAGGTGGTGATTCTGGTGACTAATCGAGACATGGAATCCGATGGCTGTCTCATATTGTCCAGGATATTTGACCAGGCTATTCTTTTCCTGTAATTGTTGCATTTAGGGTCCTATTCATTACTATTAAACTTGAACACATCTGTGATGCTCTTTAGCCGACACCAGTTTTTAACGTTTTCCCGGCTAACTTTTTGTTAAAATTTCACAGGCTGTTCAAGAATACAGCAAGCGCAAATGTGAATTCCCTGCAATCCAAAGCCCTCCACCGACCAACTATCCTGCAGCTGATGCAGTTATGGTAACTGAGGCAGATCTTGAAGGTTACATTACCTCTGAGCGTCATCGGAAAACCCCCAGCGTGTCTGCAAGAAGAGTATCTCGATCGAAATCTGCAAGGCTTTCCCCAATTAATTCTCTCACTGGAGACGAGGTTCTAATAACTGATGCTGATCTTGAAGGTTATGGCTCCGATGATGAAGCTTGTAAAGCTTTGACTGTCTCATCTTATAGAATTATTCGTTCCAAGCCCATGATTTCTAGGCTATCTTGCCTCTTTACTTCGTTGAAGCTATCTTGCAGCTGTCCTCCAGTTTCGAGTCGGCAGCTTCCAGAGTTTGTGCTTGCTAGTTAGAAAGGCATCTGCTATAAGCGGCATCTCTGTATAGTTGTAGGTAGAAGAGGGAAGAGGAAAAGGCTAGGTTCCAGGAATACAAGAAGTTTGTGCGTTGTCGAATAAGATGGGAGCAAAAAGAAACGCAGAGGTCAAAACCCGTAAGAGTTTCTGTGACTGGATTCTGAAAAAATCTCATAAACGGTCGGTTTGTTGTGAAAATTTTCCAAGTTGTCCGTTGTTTAAGTTATATGATTTTCAATCTTGATCTTGTTCTTGTTTGGAACTTCCATGAGCAATTCTGAAATTAGAATTTGTTTTCGTTATGCTGTGCGGAATCTGATGCCTCTGTGCTGCGGCGAAGAACTTGTATTATGTTGCTTGTTCCTTCTTTTTCTATCTGGTAGATCCTCAACCTTATTTAGTTTGCATCAAAATTTTTAAATTTTATAATGATGCTTGTTTTCTTTTGGTTTGTTACTTATATTCGGGGTTAGCCACATGGCAAAAGTGACGAGTCTGCAACTAGAGCGTGATACCATTTGCTGTTGTTCCTTTGAAGTTGGAAATAATTTCTAGAATTGGCTTGAAAACTCACGTGACAGAGAACTATGTCTGAAATTATCTACCGGAGAGTATTGAGATTTTGATACGGAATTGTGAGTTAATGTGCAGAAACTCCTGCTCTGTGCTGGCGGAATTAAAACTCTTCTGGCTTGGATCGTGGAAATATTTTCTGAGATGAGAAGGGGAAACGTTATTCTCTAGATACCATTTTGTGATGGATCGAGTTCTTACTGCAACCTAGTGAGCTTTATTTCATCTATCATTTTTGGAGCAACTAACTCGATCTAGCTAAACATGTAGAATTTTTCCAGTAAGTATTTTCTGCATACATGTCCCTGAAACCTTGACATTTTAAAAGTTATCCTCAAAATCTATTGGTTTGTGAATCTTCTGCTGTTTTCTGTTAATATGATTAAACTTTCTTAAAAATAAATTTAACTATTGACCATAATTTTCTTAACAGGTTTAGATAGGCTAAATACCCATATTGGTATTTTAATTCCACCCCAATTTCCAACAAGGTATTTTAAATAGGCAAACCCGCTTTAAGACATTTTAATTGATCCAACTAACCAATAAGGCATGGTTTCTCGTCGGCGGGAAAATTTCCGGCGAGATCTCGTCACGTGCATGGCACATGATGTCTCTAAACTCGTTTTTAGCAGCGGCGACGGCAACAATCACGTCATATTCAGCCGATTCGATAGGGTTAGCGATCTCAGGCGGCGTCATAACCGTTATTTTATCCTACTTTGGGCTGAATATGACGAGATTGTTGCCGGCGTCGCTGCTAAAAATGAGTTTTGAGACATCACGTGCCATGCACGTGACGAGATCTCGTCGGAAATTTGCCCGCCGACGAGAAAACATACCTTATTGATTAGTTGGATCAATTAAAATATCTTAAAGCGGGTTTGCCTATTTAAAATACCTTGCTGGAAATTGGGGTGGAATTAAAATACCAGTATGAGTATTTAGCCGGTTTAGATATATGCATTAGGGACCCGATCCGAGACCCACTTTCGCATTTGCTCTGCATAACCCCTCGCCCTTCTCGCCCTCACTCCTCTTCTTCATGCTCCCCTTTTTTTAGGGCACGACCTCTTATTATCCCCTTTCTACATTTTCCCGCCATGGCTCGAATCATCACGCGAGCTCTCCCACTTTCTTCGAGATCCTCTCGTCGTCCTCGCCTTTCGATCTCGTACTCTTCTCTCTCCCTTCGACCGCTGAGATCTCCAATAGCTTCATCGTCGTCGTCGTTATCTCCGATTTCTTCCCACCTTTCTTTCTCGATCCACCCATTCGGTTCGTCGAGGAGGAGCATCCACGAGATCTCTCCCTTTGGCGGGATCTTTGCGAGCCTTCGGGGGTTTCGCAAGACGAGGAGGCGGCTAGCTGCGAAGAGGAAGTTGGCTCCCAAGGAGAAGGAGCTTCAGCTCGATGTCAAGATTTGTATTGAGGAGGAGTTGCCTGAGGATCCTGAACTCATGGTAATTTCACTAAATTTACGTTTTTTTTTTTGGGATAGGTTTTTTGTTGTGAGGTGATGCAAGTGAATAAGCTCACCAGCTTGGTGTCAATTCCGGCTGAAATTTTAGATTTTTAAAAATTATTTTTATGTAATGTGCTTAATAACTTCATTTTAAGTAAGTTGTCTGGCTTGATGTTGTTGCGGTTCTTTTTCTTCTGATGTGAGTTATCTCGTGATGTAACCTAATTAAATTTCTTACCAATTGCTGACTTGTTGCTTGGTTTGATATTGTTAATATTGTTGTATTGGGGGAGCAAATGTTTTATAGTTCTTTTGTGGAGTATATAGTCTTATAGTTATTAGGTTTCATGTTATCAGAGTAATACATGTGGTTTTCTTATTTTCTCGCCATTATGAATTTTCACTAAAAATTTGTTTTTTTATTTAAAAGATTGTTTGTTGTGAGGTGATGTAAATGAATAAAGTCACCAGCTTGGTGTCAATTCCGGCTGAAACTTTAGATTTTTTTAAAAAATATTTTTTATGAAATGTGCTTAGTAACTTCATTTTAAGTATATTTCTGGCATGATGTTGTTGCGGTTTTTTTTCTTCCAATGTGGGTTATCCTGTGATGTAACCTAATTACAGTGCTTACAAATTGCTGACTTGTTGCTTGATTTGATATTGTGAATATGGTGTTATTGGGAGAGCAAATAGTTTTATAGTTCTTTTCTGGAGTATATAGTCTTAATAGTTATTATGTTTCATGTTATTGGACTAATATATGCGCTTTTCTTATTTTCTTGCCATTGTGAATTTTCTTAATAGCTTTGTACAAATTACCATCAAAAGGAGCTAGCAGGCAGTAGGTTAAAGTTGTTGATGTACATTGTTTTTGAATTGGGATATCTGAATTAACTGTGAATCGTGATTTTGTTGTTGTATGCCTTCTTTTTGATTATCTATTTTGAAGTGTATGTGCAGAGCATTTCAGAAATGTTGAAACTGAATGTTCCAATGGCTATGAAAATTGCATTCGACGGTCTGCATAACTCAAAGTACAAAACTAGAGATGCTTCAATCAGTGACGTTGGTGTATTTGACAAGGCTGAGCTCTCTTTATTGCTTTGTAATGATGATTTTATGCAAAAACTTAATAAAGAATGGAGAGGTGTGGATGCTACTACTGATGTTCTTTCAATGTCACAACATATACCTGAGCTTGAAAATCCCACGGTAAGAATCTTTGAAAAGCTTAGTGTTGATGCCTTTCAAAATTTTCCTTTTCTTGCTACACATGTTCTTTCATGCATGCAGCTATTGCTGGGGGACATAGTCATTTCTGTTGAGACAGCCGCAAGACAAGCAGAAGAAAGAGGACATACGCTACTTGATGAAATTCGAATACTAATGGTAACTTCACTAACTCCTTTTATTCTACAGAACCATACAATTTTTTACGTTTCTTCAAATAATTCTCTATAGCTTAATTTGTATGTGGGGTACCATCCCCCGTAGTGATTCCTCTTATACATCCAGTGCAATGTTTTTGTGATACTAAATGTTGCTAAAGTAGTTTTCTTGTGGTACATATTTACATTATATGTTTATACATTATTATAATTATAAATGTTATGTTAATATCTATAAACATTGAGTTTTATGTTCACTTTTTTTTGGATCACCTGTGGAGAGGTATGATCTATATTATTTATCTTAAAGTGGTGCTTGGTTTGCAATGAAATACTGAGTTCTCAAAGATTATCGCATGTGATACTGACATGTGAAATGATGATGTCTTAGTCGATAGTACGAAGGACCCTAGTAAACGTCATGAGCATGCACACAAACACATCCGCATGTCTTTATGTATGTGCGCGCATGCTTAAGTTACGTGTGTGGGTGGGCGGGGGAGGGGATGGGTGAATGAGCTATTATTAGGGTAACATTCGGGTTGCAAAAACTTAATATGTATGTTAATCGCGAGTTTTCAGCACAATCAAGTCCAGCAATTATACAAATTAATTGGTTCAGCTTTACTTAGGTTCATGGCCTATTACATCTTCTGGGCTTTGATCATGAGATAAGTGAAGAAGCCGAGGCGGAAATGCAGAAGGAGGAAGAGATTATCTTCAAAAGTCTAGGATGGAAAGGCAAAGGTTTAATTACGGGCGCATATGATAATATAACTGATGGATGCCTCCAGTCAGACGGCCCTGATGGTAAGTTGTTCTCTGCACCAATTGCTACTTCCATTTCATTTGTCTATATGAGTGTTTATTGCATTTATTCTTGAGTCTACTTTGATGTATTAGATTATATGATAGCCTGGCAGTTTGAGGGTTTTTACAGGAATAGTTACCAAAGATATGAGAAAAGCAGGCAGCCTACGGTTTTATAAACCAAAGTTCAGTTATATCTTTTGTGATATGGATGGTGAGCAGCATTAACACTCAGTAAATTTGAAGTTTAACTACTCTGTGAGGTTCTAATGTATCTTAACATTTTTTTAATGTAAACAAGGTACCCTTCTGAATAGTAAAAGTCAAATTTCTACCACAACAGCAGAGGCTCTAAAAGAGGCTATTTCAAGGGGAGTGAACATTGTGATCGCCACTGGTAAGGTGAGAGAAGCTCTATACTCTTGATATTATCATGCTTTTCATACAGGAATATGAAACTGTGATGTGAGTTATAATTCATCACACTAAAGTTATTGATGTCATTGAGTAAACCAGTCTCTGATATCATGTGTTTTATATTATGGTAACAGACTCGTCCAGCTGTTATAAATGCCTTGAAGATGGTCAATTTAACTGGGAAAGATGGGATTGTATCTGAATCATCACCAGGCATCTTTCTGCAGGTTGTTCCCTATGTGTAGCTTTTAGATTACAAATTATCATATAATCTGATAAGCTTTTGCAAAGATTGTCAATTTTGTATGATCCTTTCATTGTCAAAGAAGCCTGAGAACTCAAGTATCGATGTTTACTCTTTTTATCCCTTTGCATGTTGTCATGATTAGGTGTATAATTGATAAGTGAAATCCTTACACTTTCAAGGAAGTTCTTGTATGGCATTTTCTTTGTATTTTGTTTTGCTCTTCTGGTTATTGCATGAATATTTTTCATTTCTCATTTGAACAAGACATTTGGCAACTCTGAATAGAAGAGAACATTGACAATAAGAACTGGTGGGTTATAAGGAAATTGGAGGAGACAAAGAAAAAGAAAGATAAGGTCATATACTTTTTTATGGTGATATGTGGATAAATTTGAGGGGCCTAAGACCTCATGAAACTTCTTAGCTTTAAAATGTATGATTCAGCATGTGACACAGACATACTATATAATCCTTTTTTTTTCTCTTGTGTCAAACAATATAAGAGAAATGGTAGGCCTAAATCACAAGTTTAAAGTTTATATGCATGTCATTCTGATATGCTTTTTATGTACTATATCAACAAAACTAGATGCAAAGCATGTCACTTTATGAAGCTATATACTTGCATAATCAAAAACTAATTGTAGGACAACCTTCAAGATCATGTTTAAACTTTCAACTGCTTGGGCCGTAATTGCTGCTCACAAAGATTCTTTTTTACTTGCTTGTAAAATGATCAATGTAGTTGATTTCTTTTATGGAACTAATATGTACGAGATGACAACTGATTTTGTTGAATGAGAGCTACAAAGAGATGGACTCGTGCTGAGGCTATCAGAGCAAGTGGACCTCGCTCTTATCTCTGGGTAGCTCATTTTGTTAAAAGGAGTGTGACTTAAGATCCGACATCCCTTTTCTTGATGAACTCTGATTGAAATTTTACTTAATTTTGAATGATTCGGATTGTAATTGTTTTATGCATTCTCATTAGAACTGAAAATTTCAGGGTTTGCTTGTTTATGGACGACAAGGTAGAGAGATTGCCAGAAGAAACCTAGAGCAAAATGTTTGTAGAGAGGTATGAAGACATAGTATAATTCAATTAAATTTCAGGATTGGTTGGTCTTTGTATCTAGTGTTATTGAAATTCTTTTCTATTTGTCTCTTTCATTTAGCTTTTGAAGTGTAATATAATTATAAGCTGCTATTACTTTTCTTTATACTTGGGTCACTTTGAGTAAAGGCATGTAGTGAGTGATGTTGGGTTTTATCTATCATTTTCATTCCACAAATTAATGCCTCCCCGTTTTTAGGCTTTGGTCTTTTCCTTCAGCCTATACCTTCTATGAGTCATATCTGTCTTTTTCATTTGGCTTTTGAAGCGTAAAATAATTTTAAGCTGCTATTACTTTTCTTTATACTTGGGTCTTTTAGTAAAGGTATGTAGTGAGTGATGTTGGGTTTTACCTATCATTTTCATTGCACAGATTAATGCCTTCCCGTTTCTAGGCTTTGGTCTTTTCCTTCTATGAGTCATGATCGTTGTTGATGTTTAAAGACAAGAACATTTGTTGTATGAAGTGTGATGATGCATCTTCTAGGTATATAAATTCCTTTTATGTAATACAGTCATGTTTCAAGCATAACCTTCTGGCGTACATAATATCACAAGTCATAAAGTTAGGTTTTATGTAATGGCCTTGAATAATGGTTGCTTTTGTGTTTTGCTGATATTTTGAGACAGTTCTCAGGTTTTATTTGTCTGTAACATTACATTGTCAAATGCAGGCATTTTTATACTCTTTAGAGAACGAAGTTCCTCTAATAGCATTTTGTCAGGATCGATGTTTTACATTATATGATCATCCTATGGTTGATTCATTGCATACCATATATCATGAGCCAAAGGTAATAGCAAGATAAGAGTGTTCGTGCTACATTTCATATTTCAGTTAACGTAGCCTAATGATAGTTGTTATGATGCAGGCTGAGGTTATGCCTTCAATTGATCAGCTTCTAGCTGCTGCTGAGATACAGGTAAGTTACATGTGTAAGCTAGGAAACTTTTAGCCTTTTAGGCTTTGGGCAGAGCAGTAATAACTTGTTACTACATACTAGTCAGCTGAACCTGAAGTATTTTGTGACTATTTTGTGACTAGAATTAACCCATTGCCAGGAGTCATGGACAGTGCTGTGAGACTGTAGTTTTAATAAGTCCAAGAACCTTAAGTGAGTTGTAAGGCCTTCAAAAAATTAGAAGTTTATGATTATATAAGAAGAGTAAAGTAGCCATGCAACTTAAAGTAGACGTCATATGCTGACACGAAGGTCGTGCTTTTGGTTCCCTTTGGTTCCCTCCCGTGAGAGAGAAAGTGTGGGGAATTTTTTTTTTCATTATTTTGACAAAGGTCACAACTGCATTTTGAATGTGGGACCTTCCGTAACCAAATCACTGTTTTTACTGATGAGCCAACCACGGGCAATCATGGACTATGGAGTTTTAATTATCTGCTTCAAACAGCAGAGAGGGTTACCTTGTCACATGCAAGCATGGATCTTCATCTTGCATGGCGAGTTCATTGGAAAAGAAAATGATTTTAGAATAATGGCTGATCTTTTTCTCTTCACTGTAAATACAAATGCAATTTATGCTGCCTTGCGATGTCGGATGAGCAATTTCTTCATGCATGAATGTAATATTGTTAACTTAGAAAATAGTTTTGCTGTTTTCTCCTCGTGTTACAGCATCAATGGTCCTCTTTATATGTTGAGTCTCCAAATATTCCTTCTGAATTTAAAGGGGGAAAAAAAAGAAAGAAAGAGTCTTGTACTCTCTATATGTGGTTTGTTGTTTCTTTATCCTATAATTTGGTTCCACCCTCAAAATTGGACATGCTCCATCCGCTGTAACATTTTTGTCCAACTGACACTGATAATGGTTGTGCTGTTACGTGATCTATAAATATAGTTACAGTATTTACCCAGTTAATATAAGCTGTGCTTCAAATTCTGAATCTGCTGATGCGGCAAATATGAGGATTCATATCTTATTAGAAATGTTGTGCGTTTGCAGAAATTGTTATTTCTTGACACGGCTGAGGGAGTTTCATCAGTCTTAAGGCCGCACTGGGAAGAGGCAACAGAAGGACGAGCAAGTGTTACTCAAGCACAGCCTGACATGCTTGAAATTGTCCCAGCTGGTACCTCAAAGGGCGATGGAGTAAGAATGCTGCTGGATCACCTTGGTATTTCTCCAAAGGAGGTGTGAGCTACTTTGGACTATTTGATTAATTGTCCTTTTCTCTCCAAATGCAAGCTAATTTCTATCTATCAAGGGCATGGATTAATGTTATTAAGCATTTTAGTAGGATTAATTTACCAAAGAAGTGACCGGATGCGTGATCCTATTTAATATTCGGACTTATTCACTAGGGGTATTTGGATGAACAAGAATGGGTATGCCAGAAGAGGTTGCCAGTTGATTTCCCATTTTAATACAAATTGTTATTGATCGAGTTTAAGATCTATAACTGCAGCAGAGATATGTGATATTCGAATACCCAGTTCCTAACAATTCACTTGATCAGAAATTATGCTTCATATTCAATTTTAATCACTATACTAGATTGAGGTTCACTGACTCGAAGTTATTAGTATGCAAATTACTAATTTGCCTCAAACCGCGGGCAATGCTCCAGAAGTGTCTGCGCTTAACATAATATGGCATGATTATTCACGGCCTGGTTGGTTGTTGAGACTCGGATGCATTACCGTAAGTGTGCCAGCCTTGTATCCACAATACTTTTTATCTGGTGATGAGCTAAGATTACCTTTATTTTTTTAGGGTCTTTCCAATTTTGTGTTTGGATGCAACCTTGAAAACAAGAAACAACAACAGAGGGGATGATGTGTCAACCAAAGATTGGTTGATTTGACAGTCATTTTGGGAAACCAATTTCAGCCCTTTTTTTAAGGAAATGGGCTTAAACCATTTCCTTGTTAGGTTTTCTTGGAAAGCTAATATCTAGTTTCTCTATCAAATCAACCAAATAGCCCCTTAAAGATATTTGCGTATGCCAGTGGGAATTGAAACATATTGAACTTGAATTCTTGCATCATGCTTTTGGTGGCTTACCACAAGTGTATTTTTTTTTATGGTAACTCCCATCTGTTTTCCCTCCTCCAGGTCATGGCTATTGGTGATGGGGAGAATGACGTCGGGATGCTAGAATTAGCATCATTGGGCGTCGCCCTTAGCAATGGATCAGACAAGACTAAGGCCGTGGCAGATGTTATTGGAGCGACCAACGATGAAGACGGTGTTGCACAGGCAATATACGGGCATGCATTTTGATGCTTAGCAGGAAATACAGGATGCACAGGCAATATACGGGCATGCATTTTGATGCTTAGCAGGAAATACAGGATGCTCCAGATTTTGTTTAATCTTTTCTGACGACCATTTGTTGGCAATTTCTGCCCATATTATTCTGATTGTAATAGGAATAATTCTTGGAATCAAAAGGGAAAGAAAGAAAGATTTACATTTGGGAGAGGTAAAGGGAAAGAATAAACCTTTTCCACCACATTTTTGGCTCAAAAAGCTGTCGGTAAGAATCAGATCATTGCTATTGTTTTGAGCTGGGGGCTGTTGCCATTTGGGGCTCTTGCTACGTTAAATCTTTTGCAAATATTGCACTGTATACTATATCTTATCACTGTTGTATTATCCAAGACCGCTGATTGTAGGGCTGCAAAATCTATGTTCTTGGTTATGAAATCGCTAATAAGGGAGAAATTTACTGGAGCAAATTAAAAACTAGGGGGGGGGGGGGGGGGGGGTGTT